AAAAAAAAAAGAAGAGGAAGAAGAAGAAACAGAAACGAAAAAGAAGAAGAGGAAGAAGAAGAAACGAAGAAGAAGAAGAAGAAGAAGAAGAAACGACGGGAAGGCAGCGCGGCGGTATTCGCGAAAGTAGACGGGAAGAAAAAGAAGAAGAAGAAGCAGAAGAAACGACGAAGAAGAAGAAATATTAAGAACGAAAAGAAGATGAGAAAACAAAACGGAAGTCGACGGGGGGAAAGAAGAAGAAGAAGAAGAAGAAGACAATGACGAAGAAGAGAAGGAAAAAAACATGCAACTTACCTCAAAGTTCGACCCTTCGTGGAAATGGCGCGCGGCAGTACTCGATGAAGTCGGCAAGAAGGCGGCAGACAACGTTGGCGCGGCAGCAGGAGGATGACGATGCGCAGCAGCAGGGGGACGATGATGGCACGGCAGCGGGACGACGACGATGGCGGCAGCAGGACAACGACGACGGCACGGCGGGAGGGCGACGGCGTCACTGGCGCCTGGTGGAGGGCGGAGGGGCACCGGGGCGGGCAGATCAGCCGAGGATTCAAATTTGAATCCTGGGAGTTATGATCGCCGCCGATCGTCGGCCAAGAGTGAACGAAACAAAAACTTCAAAAAAGGGGCCTACCGGGCCCCGAAAAATAGCCCGCCGGTCGCCAAAATGTTTTTTGGCCTGTGGGCCAACGGGCGACGGCGAGAAAACAAAATTTTGCGGCCGTTTTGGGTATGGCGCTGAGGGGGCCCGGGTGCCTGGCCGGGCGGGTTGCACGACCGAGCGCCCCGAGCGCCATTCCGGGCTGGCTCGGGTACCCCAGGTGCTCGGGGGGGAAAGCTAGGCGCGCAGGCCTTTTTTTTGGGTAACACATTTTCAGTGTTTTTCTAATTATTTGGACCAGATTGCATGGTGCGGCTCGGTCCGCAAAAAAAAAAAAAATTTAGATGGAAGAAGAGAGCTCATCAGGAGGTTAAATAGCAACTCTGTCCAGGATGCATTTGACTGATGGATAAAGGCTTACCACGTCACCCGGAGCTAGCGATACCCCTGAGAGAATATTGTATAGTGCAAACAAAATAAGCCACCAAATACTGAAAAGATGGCAGTTGTTATTAATTTAATAGAAATGCTGTTGTTTTAATCAATAGTGGTATTGGTACGAGAATTTTAGGTTGTGTGAGACATGATCCTGACTGTTGGGTAACAACAAAACAAAGGGCCCAGATCAGGAGTTGGTCACATACCGCAAAATATTGATTGTTATAATGTAGTGATATCTGGAGGAGTCGGGTCTGGATAATCCAGCCGTGGATGACCGGGCCGGATATATGGACCTGAATGCTGTAGCTAATATCTATGGTGCATCCAGGTAGACGGTTAGAACGAGTCTCCTGAATGTATAGTGCTTTTTTCGCTTTTTTTTTTATAAAGAAAAGCACACTCCCACTGCTTATATTCTGGGGGGCAACAGTCCGGTTACTTTTCACCGGCAAGTCTGAAAAAGTGTCACATAAAGAGAGGGAGCAACTCTGCCAAGGCTCGAGAGGCCGTAGACCGTGAGCTGTTGGTACTGCAGGGGGTGGCAGCCAGGCTCTCATTGACTTGACCCCCTCCTAGCCGGGAGACGCTCCGCGTACCCAGATGCTCAGGGGGAGAGGGGGACATGACCTCTTCCTCTGCACTGCTATAATGGTCCTGCTGCTGAAAGTCTGCCGCTTTGAATGCAGTGGCTGCATCAATTCACCACTGTTTCCCGCATCTTACATTCCGAGAATCATCATCTTCCCCGTTACATGTTCTATTGTGAGGCTAATTGTTGTACCTCCCCCCACTTTTTTCGCTTTTATTATCTTTTTGGCCGGTTTGTTATTCGCTGGCCAGGTTGGCTCCAAGGTGAGATTTTGCCAGGACACATTAAAGTCTGATGTCGCGGCCTCTCGTTTCTCTCTCTGTTCTCCCTTTCTGGCTGCTGCCCAATAAACGTGAGCAACGTGAGCATCAGAGCATCGCAAACCTTAAGAGAAGCACGAACCTTAGTTCAGTGCAAAGTCGTAGAACTTATTCAGTGTTTGAGCATGTTCCTGGAAGTCCATATGGTCATAATACAGCCCAAGTTGTCTTCCTCCGATTTCTGCCAGTTACATCTTGTATGCTTCTCTGCAGGTCGTAATCATAACTCCATGCATTGCTGACTCACACAACTGTTGCTGCCCATGCTTTTTCAGTGAAGTTGTGTTTGGTTCTCTACCTTCGTATTAGACCATTGGGACAGATTTGGCGCAGGGGCAGGGGAAATTGGGGCAAGGTAAAGTGGGACAGGCTTACCAGTTATGGGCTGTTCCGGATGTGTGTGATGCTCTTGTGCTCTCTTTACGCAGGATCATCCGCAATGTCTGCTTGACCCTTGAACGGCTGCAGGAAGTGGCATGCCCAACGTGTCCCAGCAGGTGGCTGCGACTATGCCGCAATGTGGTAAGTCCTCGATTGTGTGTTGCCGAGTTTCAATCAGTCAGGGTTTTCCTCAGCGCTGTGCGAGGAGTGGCACTTTGCACGATGTTTTGTTTTCTGAACTATTTCCGTTGCTCTGTGGACTAGATTCGCTAACATTTCTATTGCAATTTGCAAGATATTTTGAGGCTGTTCATGATGGAGACCCGTGACATTGTTCCCAGAATGATTTCTTACAAATGGTCCCAGTACAAGCATGCCAACATATTATGTTGGGTCAATCAAGATGCAAGTTTTCGTTGGTAGTGAGGATGAAAGTTGGGTTTGCAAGGGTTGCATACGTCCTCGGATGCCATTCACTTCATCTCTTCTCTCTTCCTCTGTCTGAGCAGGTCTTTGCAACATCAGCAGTTCAGACAGATCCTATGTTGGATTGAACAAGATGGAAGTTCAGACAGATCCTATGTTGGATTGAACAAGATGGAAGTTTCCATTGGTAGTGAGGATGAGAGTTAGGTTCGTGAGGGGTTGCATGGGTCCTCACATGCTTCATTGCTGTTCACTTTATGTCTACAGTCTTCTCTATTGTGTCCATTGACGTTGCCAGGGAGACGCAGATTTTTGTTCCTCCTCTGTGTAAGGACATCTTTGCAACATGACCAGTGTAGACAGATCTTGGGAATGTTTTCTGCATGAGCTTCTGGCTCTCTATAAGTTGGACCATCTGGTTGACTATCAGCTAAGGGCACCGATAAAAGAGAGTTGAGTAAACGTTCTGCTTAGGATACCTTTCTGGGTGCCCGGGCTGCTTCTGGCTGCCCGGAATGCCCAAGGTCCGGGCCAGGTCCCAGGCAGCCACAGCGAAAATGGAAGAAGAAATTAAAACGTATAAAATTATGGGAAAAACAGAGGCTGTTTACGATTGCAATACAAGCAATTTTTGGCTGAGGGTCACCCAAGAATTCCGTACTGAATCAAAGATACAAAAGAAAATTGGAAAAAAAATTCAAACTAAGGCACACCCCTTTGAACCCCTTCGAAGTTTAAATTTTAAAATTTAAACCATTTACTCCCTGCTGCCCCCCCCCCCCYCCGACGGGACTAAGGCACACCCCTTTGAACCCCTTCGAAGTTTAAACTTTAAAATTTAAACCATTTACTCCCTGCTGCCCCCCCCCCCCCTCCGACGTCCCGAACCTCAAAACGGACAACAATGAAACACAAAAAAGAGCCGGGATTTCGGCTGCCTTCAGTGGGCGCAGAAATGCCGGGTTGACCCTTGCGGGAGACCCTCAGGCCGAGTCGGCCGGCCGGTTGGCTGTGCGTGCCTGCCCGGCTGTCCGTTTTGCATGTGACGCCCTCCTGTTGTTTATTATTCCTTTTTTTTGCTCATGTAAACCTTCTGCAGTTTGAGCTTTAGGACTTGGTGCCCTCGGTTTATTTACTCTTTTCTTTTTGTTTTGTTTTCTGACATCGGTGACGTGTCGGTCTGTGAGCAGGTTCTTGCTGCATCATCAACCCGGACGGCTGCCGGAGATGCCTTCCATATGAGCTCAGGACCATCAAGTCCAACAACAGCGTCTGCTGCAGGGCCATCTTGGCAGGCAGCGGATGCAAATGATAACGGGGAGGACGATGATGAAGACAGCGTCGTGTCGATCGGGGATAGGGGAGGGAGGGTATCTGGTGGAGGCGCTGGAGCATCTGGTGGGATGAACAAGCTTGCAGAGGGGAAACTGGCAGATGCCGACCAATTGCCCCGGTACCGCACACGTGTCTTTGCAGCAGAGTGAGTGAAACCCTGTCCCGAACTGTTACCGAAACTGAAAATAACCTTCATGGTATGGACTTGGGGTAATTGCAGAAATAGTGCATTTTTGAAGTTTCCCAGTGGAAATGTTGTCGGGGTCCGCAAGATGTATTTTTGCAAGGAAAGTGGGCCCCCGTCCACAAATATCTTTGCTTGCAACGAAAGTGGGACCCCGCCTGCAAATATCTTTGCTTGCAACGAAAGTGGGACCCCGCCCACAAATATCTTTGCTGTGAAACGACTGGACCCGTAAAGCTGAAACGAAAGATGTATTTTTTAAATGAAACGTAGGCCCCACCACTATTTTCGCCGTGCCATGCACTATTTTTGAAACTTACCCTGTGGACTGTATATCATTGAACATTGAAGTGAAGACCGTAGCTTGGTAGTAGATTGTACCTTATGCAGTGTTGTGCACTATAGCTGAGGTTAGCTTCGGATAAATGGTAGTATCATCAGTGGTGGTCCATGGGCGACCTGGCTGGGGGATGGTCGCCCAGGTACCCTCTCAGGCGGCCCGGGGCGGGCAGTGTCCAGGCAGGGTCCCGGGCAGTCCCAGCACATAATGTTAAAACAAGTAGGAAAAAAAAACAAAAAAAAATAAAAAAATCCGAAAAGAAAATATGTCGTGTCAAACCAACCCAAACAACTTTTGGCTGAGGGCCCCCTCAGAAGTCCTTGTTAATTTTATGATAAAAATAAGTGAGAAAAGACGAGTTTAAATATACCCTTTTAAACCCCTCTAGTCACTGTTATACCCCAAAACCCCTCTGGATGACCAATCACCGAAATGGAAGGTAAGGCTGGATTCTGACTGCTAAGCGCAGTCATAGCCTGAAGTCAGCTACCTTTGTGTTGGGATCCTTGCGTCTTTTTTGACCTGTCTGGTTTTCCCAGGCGACCCCTCCTCTGCCCAACTGGCCCGGGCGTGCATGGCCCGGCAATGGCCCAGCATAGAGTATCATGGTATTCCACACAGGCAAGTTGCGATCCGAATGTTATCCCTCTAAAGAACTCTGGGGCTTTGGGCAATTTTGGAAGCTCTGTTGTTGTGCATGTTTGCTCAACCGCTCTACCAACTCTTTCAGGGTCCAATGCATGCAACCAAGGTCCCAAGGTTTCGAAAAATGAACCTGTCGACATCGGAGTGATCCTTCCTCTCGTTTACGGTCCAAGGGCTCTAAGGGGTTTAAGGACCGTTTAACCCATAACATTGTTGTATTCGTCCGGATTTGAACTTGTGGTCTGTTGATGAACAGCAACATGTATATACCATTCAGTGTGGTCTGTTGATGAACAGCAACATGTATATACCATTCAGTGTGGTCTGTTGATGAACAGCAACATCTATATACCATTCAGCTACATGGCTGTGTAGGTTGACGATATTCACACAGTTTTGCTGACATGACTCTTACAGAACCATCCGCCAAAATTGGAACAATACAGACAAGACTAGCATGGCCCCTGCACAAGGATGGCATGCATGCAAATTAAGAAATGGTCCAAATTGGTAAACAATGTTTCGTATCAGTAAATAAATACAAAGAGAACTAGTCCAATGTGGGTCCACAATGATGTCCAATGAATTGATCTCACGTTGATGACCACTGCGCGATGGCTGCCTCCTCTTAACAGAGCTTGATGTGTGTGCATGCAGGTGTCTTAATCGGCTTCCGCTTGTTGTGGGTTCGAATCCGGCACACTTTGACTTACAGAAGGCTCGTGAGGAGCGGCAGATTGCAGCGTCCAAAGGTGAACCAGCCGGGGACTGGCTAGTCTGCTTGCTGGGGGAGCTGGTTGCGTTAGCCTACCAGGTAAAGTGACCCTTAAAGTCGAGAGGGTAACACAAAGTGCCTTCCATGCCCGATTAGAACATCTGAGCCTTGTTATGCCGTGAATAGTGATCACTTTGATCAGAATAGAATGCATGGCCATCATTCCTGACTGCACCTGAGACAACAGCCGGGCACCCGCGGGCACGGCACAGCTGAAACACACAATTGCTGCCTTAAGGGGGGCTATGGACATACAGCATCAGATCCGGCTGATGCCCAGGTTGATGCCAATCTGTACTTTGTTACCTTCTGGGGGCTGTGGTGAAAAATAGTACCGCAACTGGACGGTTGTATAGTAGATGACCATAAGGTAGAGTTAGCATAGCAGGTCCTTGATGGTCTAATTGAATTTGGCATGAGGGCTAAATTAGGCAAATGCCATGTCCCATGTCCTGAGTTGTACAGCATTTTGTCTAGGAGGTCCTTGATGGTCTAGTCGGGTTTGGCACCAGTGCTAAATTAGGCAAATGCCATGTCCCATATCCTCAGTTGTACAGGACTATGTCTAGCAGGTCATTGATGGTCTAATCGAGTCTGGATCCAGTGCTAACTTAGGCAAATGCCATGTCCCATGTCCTGAGTCATACAGGACTATGTCTAGCAGGTCATTCATGGTCTAATCGGGTTTGGCACCAGTGCTAGATTAGGCAAATGCCATGTCCCATATCCTGGGTCGTACAGGACTATGTCTAGCAGGTCATTGATGGTCTAATCAAGTTTGGCACCAGCACTAAATTTGGCAAATGCCATGTCCCACGTCCTGAGTAGTACAGGTCTATTTCTAGCAGGTCAGTGATGGTCTAATCGGGTTTGGCACGAGCGCCAAATTAAGCAAATGCCGTGTCCCATGTTTTGAGTCGTACAGGACTATGTCTAGGTCTTGCAAGAGAACGTGGATGTTGTGCTTGTCTAGGTCTTTCTCGGGAGAAATCTGATGGTTGGATTACATTCGTAGATGGTAGTCATTATTAACTTGCGTCTTATTTCAGACCCTAAGAGCATACACACTCTGGGGCTTTCCATTATTATGTACCAAATCAAAATCCCTGCTGGGCATTAATGCATCTGACCCCAACTGCAACTGGAGGTCGGTTGGGAAAAGTTCTAGCGTCAGTTCACCTTGTGAGTTGCGTCTGGGTGTGGAAAATATGTGTGGAACATGGATTGCTAAAAATCTCGTTGCGGGATGATTGCACACACGCCTCTATGCTACCGCCGTGTTCCTGGTTGATTACGTCTTTAACGGAATAGAATGCCCACTCATTATTGCTGTATCCAAATTCCAGACTGTAAATTGCACCAAGTACAGCTATAATGATCAGGCGTTCTATTCCGGTGAAGACGTTAGTGGGCCTTTTGGATATCCTGTATCATGCGATCTTGACGTCCCAGATGTTGTTCTTCTACGTTATGGAACAGCAGTGCTCGAAATCATGCTCAGAGTGCCTGTTGCCGGCTATCGTCTTGTGCAGGTCGCAACTGGAACAATGGAGAATGTTCGACCTCTTGGAATCGGCTTGCTCAGAACTCTTCTTCAAAAGGTTGGAATACTGTGCCGGAGGCATCATTGCATTCGCCTATTGAAATTGGAGTTTTTATTAACTTTTTTATGAAAAGCATTTCTGCATGGGTGGTGCAGTTTGTATGTTCTGCAAAACAACAATGAGGCCTGAAAAGCCTGTGCAAAGAACCAGTCACTGCGAGCACACGTTCTTAGAGCTGTAAAATGGAACAAACCTAGGAAGACTCTCACACCCGTCCGGTCCTGCCCGGGCGGGCACCCAGGCGTGACGCCCGGTGGGGTCTGAGGCCTCGGGTACCCGGGCGTGCAAAAAAAAAAAAAAAAAAGATTTTTTTTAATTCTTTGGTTTTCTGCGCTCTCCCAGAGGACTCCAAATTCGGGCTCATTTCGTTTTTTGCAAGTTGGCTGTCAAGGGGGGGGAGGGGGGTATAAATTGTTTTTAAAGGGGCTAAACTTCGCCGCTAAAGGGGTCTAAAGGGGGGTGCCTTTGTGTGATTGTGTTATTTTCTCTTTTATCTCCGATTCTGTGAGGAATTATAATGTGACCCTCAGCCAAAAGTCGTTTGTATTTCAATCCTTAGCTAAAATAGGATTCGTCAACGCTAACGCGGCTAAATCCGCTATATATTTTAAACGATTTTGGCGTAAAGCTAAAACTATTCCAAATACATTGATGGTCATTATTACATAAATGAAAACACCTATTAGTAAAGAGTCTAAAGACTGTATACCTTCGATAGTTCCACATGAAAAAACAATTAAAAGGTAACCTACATGGCCAATAGAACTATAAGCTAAAAGTTTTTTGACTTTGTTTTGAGCCATTGCGGCTAATGCTCCTAATATCATGGAAGCAATACTGCAAAAAAAGAAGATTGTTTGCCATGTTGGATCATAAAAACTAAAAAGAAACACACGTAACATATTTGCARRAACAGCAATCTTAGGTGTTATAGAAAAGAAAGCTSTGACAAAAGTAGGAGAACCCTCGTATACATCAGGTGCCCACATATGAAAAGGAACTGCAGTTATTTTCCATAAAAAACCTACAGCAATAAATAAAATTCCCATGAAAATGTCATGAAACATACATGGTATGATCTTTTTTGATTACTCTTATGACTTGTAAAACATTGAAACAGCATTTTCTTTTTCCGGGATTTTTTGAGTTTTTTTTTTCTTTTTTTTTTGGCGCTGGGGCAGCCCGGAACCCCGCCCGGGGGTCATGCCCGGCCGGGCACCCGGGCGTGTACCCGGGCAGAAGTTGAGTGCCCGGGCGCCTGGGAAAACAGCCTAGGAACAAACACATATGAGGAAAAGTGGAAAGCAGAATTAGAAAGCCGAGGGCACACTAAATGAGAACACACTAACACCAAAAAAAAAAAAAAAAGTCGAAAGCAGAATTAGAAAGCCGAGGGCAGACTAAATGAGAACACATTAACACCCAAAAAAAAAAAAAAAAAGAAACAGTGACACTCAAGTCTCTGGATAAAGAAAGCCCAACTTCTCGATTCCACTAATCAATGCAACCACAATGTAGCAGCTCTGCTATGATGTAACCCAATACTACACGCCAGCTTTCCCTCTATTCACAGCCTACTTCTCCCCCTCGCACCCTCTCTCTTTCTGTCCACTTTCCTCTGGCACAGAAATGCAGCAGAGTCTGACCACGTGTGTGCTCCTTGGCCATCACCAAGTAAGTCTGCCTGATCCCGAAGCTGTCCTTCAACCCCAGCGCCACCTCACTTCGACCATGTGTGTGCTCCTTAGCTATCACCATTTAAGCCTGCCTGATCGCATAGCTGTTCTTCAGGCCGAGCGCCACCTCACTTAGACCCTGCACGGCTCTGGCTGGCGCTGGTGGAGCAGCTGACCATAGCTGTTCTTTGCCCTTCTCCATTGTGCACTGCCCTGGTGTGGCATACTGCGCATCCGCACGGGCCTGCAAGGCCCGACCAAACAAGGAAAAGTAAGGGCCCTACAGGCCCTTTGTCGTTTTCAGCCTGAAAGCCTGAAAACAAGGGCCTACAGGCCCTGTGTCGTTTTCAGCCTGAAAGCCTGAAAACAAGGGCCTACAGGCCCTGTGTCGTTACAGCCTAAAAGCCTGAAAACGAGGGCCATTTTCAGGCCCTCATAAAGTCGACCTGCCCTGAAACTTAGGAACCAGACCAGGGTTTTAGCACAGGCCATTTTGGGCCTGTTTTCAAGACAACCTTTGTTTGAACTTCAGCACCAGGGTCTGGCACGTTTTGGCATTGGCAAGAGCGGCCTCCTGGACGGGCCAGCACTATATAAGACTGGCCCGCCCTGCAGGCTGCAGGCAGTCACGAGGTAGTTCATAGGAACTTCCCAGACACTTCACGTGCAGGAGGCAGGAGGCAGTCTTCAGGATTCGGCAGCGGCACTCTGGAGGAGTGCTGCAGGAGGAGTAGTAGCGTTAGCAGTAGTCTTCAGCAGTGGGCGCTAGTAGGAGCTAGAGTAGCGTTGGAGAGAGAGAGAGATGGTTGGCGGAGGCCAGGGAGATTTACCTGTGGCGCCATAGCTCTAGCTTCGTCTTCGATGTACCTGCAACAAGTCCCCACCTTCACAGCTTAGTACCGGACTGAGAGAGAGAGAGAGAGAAAGAGAGAGTCATTCTTCCTCTTCTAAGTCCTCCATCTCTCACCCTCTCGCTGTCTGACTTCTCAGTATCTGCAGACTACGAGAGAGAGAGATTTGTGACTTTGGGACTTGACGACATTTGGATTCCGACTCGACATTGGGATTCAGACATTTGGCGAAGGATTATTTGGGACCTGTACCGAAGACTTGGTGTTGACGACATTCCCATCTTCCCCTTTTCTTCGTCTAAACCCCCTCTTCTTCGTCTGTGTATGTTTGGGGACTGGCGCATTCTTCCTGTGTGAGCGCCAGGCCCTTTCACACCATGGAATGATGATGATGTATGTATGGTCTGCATTGCAACATTGATTGTTCGGATCATTGGTATTTAAGCCTTCCGCTGTGCTATCTTGTACTATGTGAGAGAGGTCGGTTCTTGTTCTGGTCTGTACCGTTACCGTATGCGACACCTGGCCTTTTGCACTCGTGCTGGCAGCTAGTGCCTCGGAATGTGTGGAATGTTGCGGTCTCGTCCCTGTCTTCACTTTCTGGAGGCCACGGCTGCCTGGACTGGAGCTGGGCGCTTCCCAGGCTGAGAACCTTTCAGACTGAGCTCAATGGCCCTGGCCTCTGCAACTAACCAATGCTGGGCCTACTGGTCAGTTGGAGAGGCTGCTCCCAGCCTTCCTTCCTTCCCAACTGTATCACGGCAGCCTTCACTCAGGGCTGGTGGATTTCCCTTCTGCCAAGGCCTTCACATAGGGCCGGACCTATTTTTCCTTCACGAACCCGGGTGGAGGCCTGTCGAGTCCTCAAGCCTCGCACCTGGGACTCTATGATTTCTGAATGCTAGCTTTTCCCTGTACATCATGTACAAGTCAGTATAAAATATGGTCACTTCATGATCCTGACGGTTGCATTTTTTATTTGCATGTGAGGATTCCTCAGCTGCCTCACAGACAGACAGGCACAGAGAGAGAGAGAGAGAGAGAGAGAGCCGATTAAAGGAATGGGGTAAGGATAGGCATAGCAAAGGCATGGCAAACCGGCCGGGGGAGGCAAATGACAAACAGGTGGGGACCAGGGAGAGAGAGAGAGAGAGAGCCGATTAAAGGAATGGGGTAAGGATAGGCATCACGAAGGCATGACGAACCGATGGGGAGGGTAGAGAGTTTGGGTACAAGTAACCAGGCAGGAAGTCCAAAAAATCGTGGGAAATATGGAAGCAGAGAAAGCCGGAAGTGGATGGCTCTCAAACTCTTTGGTGGATATGGTGCTTTGCTGCCTTTGCATGAAAAGATGTGTAAGTTAGGTCAGTATTCATTTTTGCTCTATTCTTCTTAGCTAATCAGAACTTATACAGCACCTGGTCTTAGTGGAAAGGACAAGAACCTTTTCTTTTTCTCTGGAAAGGAAGAAGATGAAAAGAGGAAGGCCAGCCAATCTTGACCTGCTGAAATACACAATTTCTAAGATATATAGGATGCGAGGGAAGGCTAAAAGTTTATGATCACCATAATTTAGATTCAATTGTAATTCGTGGTAAAAAGAGAATCTTGCTCTCTTGCGGAAGAGAATTTGGCTTGACCTTGCAATGAGTGTCCATCTGCTTTCTCATTATAGTTGGCTGTGAAATTGTAAATACTAAATACTAAATAGAGAATCTTATCTTTTTAAGCCGTTGCTTGCTTGTTGTAATTGCAAGGATTTCAGACGTCTCAGCGTTGAAGTCCCGTCTTTCTTTTTTTTATTCGTTTGATTTGGAGGTTAAACCACCACTACCTCCGATCCTGTTTTTACCGACCCTCAATTTTACTGTGCACTGAGTTTTGCCGAGCCTGCGTCCCATTGTGCTTTCTTTTCTGGTACTCTGTGTGAGGAACAAGCCCTCAAGGGGCCCTATCAGACATCACATGTTCTAAGGCCCCCAGCAAGCCGAGTGCCCGCCCTAAGTGAACGCGGGCCGGAATATTTGTCAGAGGCACATTTTCATATGTGGGTATTCAGGCTCTTGCAGCACGCCAGTTGGTTGGGTAGCCGCGTGAGCCTCACTAAGCTGCGTCATACAGTTGGCCCAGGCCTTGACAGTTGCGCCTGGGCACATACACACAAAGCAGGGACGATCGGCCTTTGGAAAAGCAGTACTGCCGACGCACCTGCCTGGGAGCCCTGCACAGATGCAGCAAACAACCCAAGTCCGGAGACTCAGGCCGTGCCCAACTGAAAAGGGCCCAGGCCCTCAACTGTAGTCTCGGGCCTGGGCGCAGGGTCTGAGGCCCAACCGGAAGCTTCTGGAAGCTTCCAGCCAGGCCGCACGCAGCATCCAGGAGACTGCCACTTCCATAAAAGAAGTGAGGCAGCCCAGGCCAGGCATTCTGGCCAGTGCTGGCAATGCGGAGGTGCTGCTGCGCTTCTGCTTGATGCTGCGCCACTGGCAAGGGCGCTGACGGGGCGCTTAGTCAGTGGGGTGCAGGCAGCCATAGCCGGGCTGCTGGGCGCCAGTGGGTACAGCGGGCGATCTGGTGGTCTTCAGGGAAGGAGGCGCAGTGAGGGGTAATCAAGGTCTGATTGAGGGTGACGAGATACGTACCTGGTGCATGAAGAGAGGTCGGCAATGGTGTTGACAGTCATGTACATTGGTCTTCGAGAGTCGAAGTGAGCCTGTTGCGTGAACCAGATGTAGGTAGGATAGTTGGGTAGAGTAGGCTGGGCGCTGGGCGCCAGACAGAGGAGCGACTTTGGATATTGTGTTGGTGTGGCCTGCGGGCTCGGACATTGACTCATTACTTCATTGTATTGCTCTATATGGATGGTTTTCTCGGTGCATTTGTACTCTCTGCTTGGACACGACTACTAGGACATCTGTGTGATTTCGCAACTTGGTTTTCTGTATACCGTTCACACTCATATTCCGTGCATACCGAAATGAAAAAGAAAAAAAAAGAAAAAAGAAAAAAGAAAAAAAAAGCAACAACACTAGCAACGTGAAAGCAGCTAGATACATACTCCGGGGTGCACGTGAGAGTGTACCCTAGCAACGGGCGCTACAGCCCTCCCGTAATAGGGGCATCACATCCAGGATGAACGAAGAACCAAAAAAAAAGAAAAAAGCTCTTTGGAGTCTGGACGTGAAAGCAGCTGGATACAGAATTGCGGGCACGTGTGAGAGTAAACCCTCCAACGGGCCGTTACACGAGGACAGAAAAGAAGGAAAATAAAAAATAAAAAATCTCTAGTGATTAGTGACGTGAAAAGAACTGGATACAGAATCTTGAGTACAAGTGAGAGTGCCCCCTTCGTGGGAAAGTGTCAGCTGTCCGTGGATTCTGCCCTGCCTCGTTGGGAGGGCACTATAATGACATCAAAAGGGCAAAAAGAAAACAAAAAAAAAAGGAAAATGGAACTAGCTGTAATTCCGGGTAGATGCATTCCTTCAAGCATTGATGTCAGCACACCACCTTCACGGCCTTCCCGGACGTCCTTCTTTTCCCCACTGTGGCTTTTTTTCTTTCTTTTTTTTTTCTTCTGTACAGGCCCACAAGGCCCAAAGACCTTCTTTTGCCCGAGCCTCCTCGGGACCCCCGATAAATGCGGTGTGACGCATATTCCCATTTTTCCCAACACTGAGAAAGGTAGTGGTGGTTTAAGCTTCTGCTTCCCTCATGGCTTGATCACCACTATGAGGGATTTTGTGAAGGCCAATCTTCTGCTTCTCCATGGCTTAGTAGCGAGCTCCAGTTGATGATGACAAAGTCGCCGTTCGATGTTTCCTCTCGATCTTTGTGTGTCCAGTTCGGCTCATCAGAAGACCCTGATTATGAAGGCCATCTTCTCCTAGAGCAATATCAGGTATGTAAGGCCAGAGCACCTGAGTTCTTTATTTAGCCATGTAATGACCCGCCAAAAACAGACTGAGAACACTGCTGATTTCTGGGATTTGCCGCTGGAATGAATGCCTTGCTGAGATTCCCACGTTCTGCTGTGATTTCCATGTCTGTGTGTGTGTGCGTGCCTGCTGGGTTGCCTGCCTGCCTGAGTGCTTGTCTGCTGAGTGTGTGTGTGACCTGCAAGGGTACTTGTTGGTTGAAAGGCCCCGCAGGGCCGGTACTTACCTGTGGCCGTGACTTTGAGGGTTGCAGCGGGGAAAAGACTCGAGTAGCGGGGGTAGACCCACGACACTTAGAGCAGAGGGGAAAAACACTCAAGTAGCAGGTAGGCCGGTACCACTCAAGTAGTGGTAGAAGTGTCGGGTACTGGAGGCCGAGCAGAAGAAGACAAAAAGTTGGCATTTTTAGAGGCCAGTAGCTGTAGGCTAGAGGTAGGCCGGTTCCAGTCCAAGTAGCCCGGGTCTAGGACCTGTCCGGATGATAGCAGAGCCTGCAATGATGTTTCCCTCCGAAAGGGAGGAGGTACCGGTTGCTGGGAGGCCGCTCGGCCTAGGAAGTCACCGCCCAAGAGGCCAGTAGGCTGCTATATCTTCCGGAGGAGCAAGTAGCTCCTCCTCATTTGCGGTATGCAAGGACTGGCGACATGCTGCTGGAGCACAACGCTGGACTGGTACAGCGCTGCCTGGAGGTGAAGGCAGCTGGGCGCTCAGCCTGGCTATGGCGAGCAGCCCAGCCTGAGGAGGAGGAAGAAGAGGGGTGAAGGAGGAGAGTGGCGAGGCACCTACCTGGCTATGGTGGACACCATCTTCATCACCTTGTTGGGCACTGCATCTGGAAAGCCCCAGTTGGGGTAGTGCCACACCAAGGAAGCTCGAGGCAGAGTCAGGCATGGCGGATCAGTCAGCAGCGGCATAGCTGCGTTGGGTTGTCCTTTGGACAGGAGTGCAGCGCCATAGCTGCTTTGGGTTCTCCTTTGGACAGGAGGGCAGGGCCCTCAGTAGTCCGCCATAGCCTAGGCATGTGAGAGGAGGAAGGAAGAAGGGGGGCGAAGGAGGAGAGTGGCGAGGCACCTACCTGTCTATGGTGGACACCATCTTCATCACCTTGTTGGGTGCTGCATCTGGAAAGCCCCAGTTGGGGTAGTGCCGTACCAAGGAAGCTCGAGGCAGAGTCAGGCATGGCGGATCAGTCAGCAGCGGCATAGCTGCTTTGGGTTGTCCTTTGGACAGGAGTGCAGCGCCATAGCTGCTTTGGGTTCTCCTTTGGACAGGAGGGCAGGGCCCTCAGTAGTCCGCTATAGCCTAGGCATGTGAGAGGAGGAAGGAGGAGGGAATCCATAGCTATGGTGGACTTGTTGTTGTTGTTGTTGTTGTTGTGTCAGCAGTTAGAGGGAACTTCGGATATTGATTCTGGTTCATCCACTCATTGTTATTATTATATTGGGAGAAGAATAAGATTGGCGAAGTGAGTCCTTCGGGACATCCGTTAAAATTGGAACGATACAGAGAAGATTAGCATGGCCCCTGCGCAAGGATGACACGCATAAATCGAGAAATGGATTAAAAAAAAAAAAGATTGGCGAAGTGAAGGAGGAGGAGGAAGGTGGAGAGAGAAGGGGAGAATTGTCATTGGTCTTGCTGGTGTACATCTTCTTCTTCTTCTTCTTCTTTCTCTCTCCTCTGGTCTCTATCTCTTTGCAAGTGCTTTCATTTCTTTCGCAATTGGGTGGCATTGTCTTTCATTGTTAATTTGCACTTTGGGAATGGACAGGATCGTAACAGCCATCACATACAGCTAATTTGTGTGCACACTTTCTGATATCCCTAACTCTTATAAAGAATATAGCGGGTCTTGCATGACGCTGTCCTGCGATACACTTTCCCCGCTGGGCCCAGCATCACACGTTTTTTTCCCCCATTCGGGTTTGGCCCCCAGCTCTCGCAGGCGGGCCCATCAGAAATTCATCTGATTTGCAGGGGCAGGCGGGGTGACAGATCAAGCAGGGGAGGAGGCAATGGAGAGGGACGCTGGGGGCAAGGGAGAGGAGGGCGGGCCTAGATTTACGGCTGCGGTGGTCGATTCCCAAAGCGGATAAGGGCGGGCAGAGGGTGCACACCAGCAGTGCAAGTGCGGCCGTGTGCATCAGCATGTGTGTGTGTGTGTGTGTGAGAGAGAAAGAGAGAGAGAGAGAGAGAGAGAGAGAGAGAGAGAGAGATGGCAACTATGATCAGGAGGAGTAGGAGGGCGGAGGACGCTATGATGGAGGAGGAGGAAACCGGCTGACGACTCGTAGTAGTAGGAGGGTACAGCGCGGGAGGATTATACGACGAAGGAAGAGTGGCTACGATCGAGGAGGAGCAGCAGGAGTATCCGGAAGGTCAATAAGGATTGCGGAGGAGGAGGAAAAGGAGGAGGAGGTTAGCATGGAGGAGGAAGAGGAGGCTACGATGGAGCAGGAAGAAGAGGAGCAGACTACAATGGAGGATGAAGGGGAGGAGGCGGCAGAGAAGGGAGGAGGCGAAGGTTTTGGTAGAAAGTTGAGGCAGTTCGACATGTGGATCCTTCAATGGCGCTGGCGGCTACAATCGAGGTAAAGGAGGAGGAGGAGGAAGAGGAGGAGGCTACGATGGAGGACGAGGACGAGGAGCAGACTACAATGAAGGAGGAGGGGGGGGTGGGAGGCTACGATCGATTGGGGGGGAAGGGGGCAGGCAAGGTTTTGGGAGAAAGTTGAGGGAGATCAACACGTGGATCCTTCAGAGGCATTGGCGACTACAATCGAGGTAAAGGAGGAGGGTGGATGAGTATGGAGGAGGAGAAGATGGTGCTATGGTGGGGGAGAAACTCGGTGGTGACATCTCTTTAAAATAAAAAAAATTGGCAGCGACGAATGGCGAGGAGGAGGGTATCATGGAGTGTACAATGGATTAGGCAGGTGGGACACAGGAGGAGAATAGCTACAACGGCGAGGTTCCGACGGAGGAGACAACAATGCGCATGGCCACATTGACTGCGACGCCAGGAAGAGGAGAAAGATGAGGAGCAGGAGAAGGGGGATCAATTTAATTAAGTTTATTATGTAATCGAATCACACACACAAACACACAACCTCCTGATGAGTCGGTGAAA